GAACAATTATTAACAATAACTCTTTGTGGTCTATCAGAGAGGTAAGATGAGATCCATTGAAGAAAACTGGGCTGAAAGCCGATTAGGTCGAGTTTACGGATGAGTAACGAGTGACATACTTTGTCAAAAGCTTTACTGAAATCGGTGTATGTATGTATGTATGTATGTTTATTCATTATTTTCTTAATTCATAAAAATGTACAATAAAACAAATACATAATCTTAAAATAACAAATTCAGTAAGAAAATAGTTAATGACATAGTATGCTACAATAAAGAGCAGTGGAAATGTCATTTCATAATTGTTACATTAGTGGGGGCATAAGTAGAAATCAAAATGTAGTTGCGAATATGATTAGTAAAGTTAAAAATTATTAAATTAAATATATGAATACAAATTTATGCATAAAAATTTAGGCAAAGCATTCAAAGCAACTTCGGAACCTACATCAAAATGTATTATGTTAAACCTTCAGCGGTAATGCATTACTTATACACTAAGGCCCACTTTCACAACGCCGAGTCATCTCCTTAACTAAGTTAATTTGATAAGTTGTCAAAAACGTATGGATTTAACCCCCCATTTGACGTTAGCTCTGAGTTAAAAATATAAATTTTCGTTGTGCAAGTCAGCCTAAATAATAGGTCGCAGCAAAACTTCGATACCTTCATGATTGAAGCCAAAAAGCCATATTTTCACCTCTTTGAGGAACACTGAAAGCGATCTAATAAGCTGTATATCGTCGGGTAATTTGAGAAATAATTTACAAGACACTGTGGCGTAGAAGTTTCGAAAGAGTATGGTGCGAAAGCTCGGAATTGCTATGTGAAATAACGATCTACTTCTCAGATTGTATGGATTGTATATAGGACTTTGAGTATATCCGCTCCTCATGAAAAAAATTTTCAAAACTTTAAAGTAGTACAAATGACGCAAAGGAAGAATATTTAACTTTTTGAAGAGATCCATGGAATGTGTCATGCGCCCAACGCTACATATTCTTCGAATAAGACACTTCTGCATGACTAAAAGCGGACGAACCTTATTAGCGTATGCACCACCCCAGCAACTGATTTCGTATTGTAATTTAGAGTGGATTAACCCATGGTATACCATTATCAATAATTTGTTGGAGCACAGTTTTTTCAAACTATAGAAGGAACGTACGGCTGATAGAAGGTAAAGCTTCATAGCCGAAATTTGCGAAGACCAACTTAGGCTTTGGTCTATTATAACTCCTAAATACTTAAAGTCAGGAACAACTTCGATGTTAAAGCAATTATTGTTGCAGTTAATACTATGATAAAAAGTAGCTACAGCATTTTGCTGAGTGCAATTATTAGAGCATAATATATATCGCATACAGTTCGAGGCATGAAAAGTAAATGCGTTATTTGGTATGTCTTTGTTACCAAGACTAAAATACATTAACTTCGTTTTGTTGCTTGCTACCAGCTTGTGGCCTGCAAACCAAGATCTTAGCAAATGTAAGTCGTGGTTGATATCTACAAAAAGATTAAATGAGTTGTCTGATCCGTATGCAATGGCAAGGTCGTCAGCAAAAGCAGTAACCTTCCCAATAAAAGGCAACGAGAATACTGAATTGATATAAAGCAAAAACAAGATTGGTCCAAGTACCGATCCCTGGGGTACACCTAGGGTTATAAATCTGGGTTCACTCAAATAATTTTCAATTTTAACTTTTTGAACTCTGTTCGTTAGGTAAGATTCAAACCATCTTAGGATGTTACCACGAAAACCAGCCGAATTTAATTTGCTCAAAAGAATAGTATGGTCAACCATGTCAAACGCTTTCGTAATATCGACGAATAAACTAGCACAACTCTTTCTTTCATCAATGGCCTTATATATAAATGAACAGAAATCTAAAAGAGCATCTTCAGTGGAGAGACCGGACCTAAAACCAAACTGCATTGGACTGAAGAAATTTATTTTATCCAGATATGCTAAAAGTCTACCCTTCACAGCTTTCTCGAAAATTTTGGTTATTGAAGATACACTGAGAAAAAGGATTAGTTTCGACAACTAAAGATATTTAGTTCCCGAATTTTGACAATATTTGGGAACTGTTACCAAGGATTGGGAACTATTACCATCGATTGGTTATTATAACTAAATATATTAAAGCTTCTAATATTCATCTAGGTTGTAACAAATCGTTAATTTAGTTGAAGGGTTTGGTTAATACTAATAAATATTTCTTTGAAGCATATTTCTACAAATTCCATTCAACTTAACGTATGGTTCATAAAAGGATGTTATTAAGCTCTGCTAATGCAGATAAGCTTTCTTTCAACACGTGGTTTAGTCATAGTTACCAAATCTTAGTTGAGGCAACCACGATTTGGTTTGAGAGTGGAACATATTCATGCTTGTGAGCCACCCCTAAAGAATGCTGAGCGCTCTCTGAGCACATACGAAGAGCGCCAGCTGAGCAATGTACACAGTCCCACTTATTGAATCGTTTGAAAGCGCTAGTATGCCGACCATTGCATTGTGCGTGGAAATCATTGCTCCGCTACCGCTGTTCGTATATGGGTGAAACACGCATGTGGTCCCAGAGCGCTCAGTAAGCTATGGCATGTCGATCGCTGCGCCATGTGTGCTATGACATGCCCATACTTGTTTGTCACAGTTTCAGTTTTGCTATCATCGCGGGTTGTTTCGGTGCGCGCATAGTTTAAAGTTTTATGCCAACCGGGGTTTTTCAGTGGATATATAATTCATGTGAATTATAATTTGAAAGTGTCTATTTAGCTAAGGAAAAAGCAAAGCAGTATACTTCCAGCAGATATTGACCTGGGTTTTCGCACGACTGTTCCTGTTTCATCGTTGTTTTTTAGGAAATTCTTACCACCATATACATATGTATTATTTACTTTAGTAACTAACTTATGTAAATATGTACGTATTTTTATGCTTAATATATGCAAATAAAAGAAGAAAGTAAACACAACAAACATCGAGTAAATTTTTATTTGTGTCAAACTGAAACTTTTTTCCCAATAATAAACGGTTAGCTGATTCAAGTCTACGGCAAGTTCACAAGATTAATTGAAAACTTGTATCAACCAAAGCATTGTTTATATTTGCTCAACAATGATTTTATTCAACTAACAATATTGTCCAATCAAGGTAGTCGTTTTGTAATTATTAACAAATATACATTTGTCCCAACTAGAAGTCTTAAGTAAATTGCAGACTTTCGTGAACTATATATTTATTTCGCCATATCCAACTATGCCACTTGATCACTATAACCAAATCTTGGTTATTATAACTAAACCTTTTTCTGGGTGTAATAAGGATATAGGTCTGTAGTTGTTTTTATCTTTTTTATTTCCTTTTTTAAAAAGAGGTATAACAGTAGCACACTTTAAGTCTTCTGGAAAAACTCCAGAGAGTATACTTAAATTAAATAAATGCTTCAGAACGTCAACAATATACAATCCTATGCTCTTTAATATTCGATTTGAAATGTTATCACTTCCACTAGAACCAGAATTTTTTAGGTTTTTGATTATGATCAGAATTTCTGAGCCGGATATGGGATCAAAGAAAAAACTGTTACTGGGCGGGCGAGTTCAGGATGCAATGGGTCAGTTTGACACGTACAAAAATTATAGTTGTTAAATATAGCGGGACCAGTACCCACGCAACTACCCGAGGATCCGAGACATCAGTGCCGTCCAAACTTAACACAAGCGAATCCGATTTGCTTTTTGATTTACGGTTAATAATTTGGTTTACAGCATCCCATTCTCTCCTGAGGTCACCATGCGCTGAAAATAATAAATCTTGGCAATATTTTTCGCGATTAGATCGGATTTCTTTATTTAGCGCATAAGTGAGGCCACGAACACGTTTCTTAAGCTTGGCATCTGTTGGACGTTTGCTGGATTGGTGTAATTGGTGAGTTATCCAAGGCTTCAGAGCTAAAAGCGACTTTTTCCGATGAACAGTGAGACAAGAGTTGTTTATGTGAGCTGAAAGCGTATTTATAAACAGGCTATAAGCTTTTGTTACATCCGTTTCATCGAAAACAGTTCCACAGTTTTGACAGAGAAGTGATTTTTGGAGTAATTTATAATCCAATCTTTTAGAAGTTACTTGCGTACAATAGTCTTTAATTGCCCTACTATTATTCAAGTTCACGAGTTGAAGGCCAGTCAGGCAATGGTCAGAGATGCCAAAGTTCAGATTTATACCGGCACGCATATGATCTACCATATTATTTAACCTAACGTATACATGATCAATACAGGTCCCTGAATCTGGGCGGGTGGTCTCTTGGATAACGGATGTTAAGCCATTGTCTGCCAGAAGCGCAAGATAGTTGTCCAACATTGAGTTAGTAGACAGTAAGTCAAAGTTGAAATCTCCTAAAATAAAAAGATTATTTGATTTTTTCTGTACTTAGAAAAGTAGAAAACTCTTCATGAAAAAGTTTAAAGTCATGTGTGTGAAATCTATATACGCATACAAAAGAGAAGGATATATTGTTTAACTTCAACGACATTTTTAAAACATCAGCACTTGTTAGACTTAAGCTCGAAACTTCGCATTCGTAACAGTTTCGTATAAACATTCCAACACCACCTGCAGAGTAAGTATCATTTGCATTTGCAAAAAAAATTGTAATTAGGAATACTGTAGTCATTAATTTCATAAGAAAAAATCCAAATCTCTGAAAGAAATATAATATCCGGAAGCTTGTTAAAGGCTTCAAGGTTGCAAACTAAAGGATCGAAATTACGCCTTAGACTTCTTATATTTTGATGCAAAATAGTAAAAGTATTGTCTTCTGATGCCAGTAAAGAAGAATCTGTGATAACATTTATGGTAGG